GTGTGAGCGAGCTGGGGGGGCTCCACCACCTCCCAGCCCCGGCCGTGCCCCCACGGGAGAGCACCTCCTGCAAAGCAGAACACCTCCTCCCACAGCAGGCTTGCACTAAAAAACTAAAGTACTAGCGGCACAGACTCGTTCCTTTTTCTTTCTTTCCACTTTATAGTATATATGTTATCATTTAGTTATAGGCAGATCACTTCACTATTTACAGTACATGAGCGTAGAGATTCTACAGTCTTTTTGATGTAAACAAGTAACTCCGCGGCAGGGGAGTCTGGAAAAAGAAGCCAGTTCTGAAGTATTTACACAATTTAAAATAGAACTTTTATACCCACTGGATAGATATAGATAATACATTGAGCGATTTGGTTAAATTATCTATGAAACTATAGAATCTGACAATGTAAAAATACAAGAAAACGTTCTCTCGTTTTTAGAAGGTAGACAGTTAAATCACACTAGAAATAAATCTCTTTTTTAAAAATAATAACAATAATAATAAAGGAAAGGCATAAGAATCCATGCCATCTTTTAAGGTTAAAGTATATTACATAAATAAGGACACAACGGAACGGAACTGGGGGGGGGAAATAAGTGAAATATAAAAAACCACTACCAATTAAAAAAACCAACAGACTAAAAACTTGATTCTTAATCACAGAGGGATCAATTCTGCTACTTTTACTCACTCTGCAAGTATAAAATTGCAGAGTTAAGTAGTACTTACTCGGCACGAGGAAGGGAGGCAGAACTGACCCCTTATAATTATTAGCAGTGTCCTTTTACTTAAAAAAAAAGAAGAAAAAGACAAATTTAGCTTTTTTTATATAAATAACAAAGCAGATGTGCCCCTTTTTAGGTGAAATTCTTACACCTTTCTCAAGAAATGCATCAATTGAATCTTTCTCACAGGCAAACACACACTCCCTCCCCAACTCGGAATTCACCGCAGCGTGGCTCTCAGCTCAGCATCCAGCTGCCAGCGCCGCCCCTGAGCCCAGGGTGGGCAAGGCAAGAGGAATGAAACCCGAAGGCTGCACCTGGCTCTGTATTGCTTGAGGCTGTCAGGGATGGACTACAACGTTTAGAACAGAAAGGGTGTCATGGCTCAGCTAGGAACAACGCTTCATCTCAGTATTCAACATACCTCCAAAAAGATAAGGGGGGAAAAAAAAGTGCTGGTCTGTTGGTCTGCAACTGCAACACTCCTTTGCATGGACCAGTGCTAATATCAGACACTCAAGACTTAACAACGTGGTGGCTGAGCTGCCGCTTTGTTAAGGAAGAGGTGCAGTCCAGCCAGCCGCGCCCAGTAGGAGTCGGGATAAACCTTTTCTTTGGGGAAGCTTGAACCTTAAACCTGGGATTGTCCTCTGCATTCAGCCCAGACTCTCAGAAACATCTGCTCCTTCACATGGAGCCTCAGGGACCCGCTGGATTCCAGCCAGAAATGCGGTTCCCCACCCTGAACAACAAGCTTTTCTGGGGCAAATCTGTGCAAAAAAAAAAGGCAAAGGGGCATTTATCATACAATTCTTCACATTCAGCATTTCCCCATAGTACCTGCAGGAAACTACCGGGGGACATTCTGTAGTTATACATTTTTTAAAAAAATAAATCTCCTCCTTACTTATTGCCTACCATCACATACCCTTTTGCTCCCAGTTTCTCTTTGAAGTAGGGCTCTCACCTGCCCCACAGCCCTGGACCTTGCAGGCGAGGGGCTGCAAGGGTTCCCTTTTCGGGGTGCTACAGGCTCAGCGGGACATAAAGCTAATCCTCGGGGCGGCATGGGGGGTGATCCCTGCTGCCCATCAGCTCCTGCAAAGTGCTGGGTGCCTCTGGTTTGCCTGGGCAGTGCCTGGGCATTGCTTTGCTCCTGCCCCATTTCCCTGATAGCACTCGAAACAGTTCCAGGTCATGAAGGCAGTGAGCTCTCACTTGCCGCTTGTGTCCGAGCTCTCCTTCCTGCCCCTTTCCAGACTCGAGCACTGTGAATTAAAAACACCTTTATATAAAAAAAAAAAAAAAAAAATCAAGTGGAAATTTATTTGTCACCACAAACCCTGCATGAGGGACTTTAAACCCTGGAGACCTGCACTTCTTGAGCTGAACACTCTCCACTCTCACCCAGTCCTAAGAGTCGTGGGAAGCCCCTGGTGCAGGTAGCCCACAGCCCTGGGGCAGGCAGCACGTGTCCCCTGCTTTTCCCCGTGGCAGCGAGGGGCTGGCAGGTGCAGGTTGTGCCTCTGCACATAGTGTGTCAGTCCTGCAGAAATTTCTGGGGGGAGGAAGGAACACAAACCATCCCAATTTAATGGGATAATAAAAAAAAAGACCCGCAAAAAAAATAATCCCAAACCAGAAAAAAAATCCCCCAACTCAACTTATAGGCTTCAGGCACCACAAAGACCACTTATTGCATCTCTTCCTACCCTACAGGTGCAGTACTGATCGGCTCTGTGCGGGACGAGCCCTCCCCTTCTCCTTCCCCAGCACCGGCCTCGGTAGCCAGAAGCTGGGCAGGGGCTGGGGCTGTGGGCCGACCCAGGACACCCAGCTACAGGAAAACAAAGTGAAATTTAGTATCTGGGTGCATTGAAACCAATGCTTGGGAAGCAACTGAATGATACCCCAGGAGAGGGCTCACCCTGGCTTTGGAGCCCCCAGGCTCTGCACTAAACCTTCCCCTCTGCCATGCTTGATGCATCCCCAGCGGGGCCCGGCCGTGGGGGCTCGGTGCCCCGAGCCGAGCAGAAGATGGAAGAATTCCACTTAACTTTGCTTTTTTTTGTTTGGTTTTTTTTTGGATTGATCGTTTTCTGAAAAACATCAGCACAGCACAGGACAGTACTACCCACCCTAAATGTGTCGCTATATACATTCTACATAAGCTCTATAGCAATCACATGTAAACATCATCGTTGTGAGGAAATACTAGGACAGAGAAAGGCAAAGCTACAATGAGGCAATTGCCAATAGCAGATGCTCAGTCTCAGCCAGAGCTACTCGTGTTTGCCAAGGTGGGATGAGAAGCGGAGGGAGCTTGTGGCAGGAGAGATGTCAGAGCCTCGCGGCTGAGACTGAAGTGGCACAAGGACTGTTCCCTGACAGGGACTGTCACGAGCAGCAAGTTGGGGACCCACAGTTCAAACCCTCATGGTGCCGGGCTGGGTGTTTTCAGAACCACGGCTTCCCCAAAAGTCGGGAGGAATAGCCAGGGAACTGTGCTGGTATCGGCGCTGCCGGTGTTCCTGCTCCCGATGGAGCCCAGCTGCACGCACGGCTCCGGAGCCGAGGGCCACCTTGCTGGGGCTCAGGCTCTTGGCATCGCATCTCGTGCAGTTTCGGAGGCTTTGGTCATACTCCCTGCGAGACGAAATAATACCCACGCCAGGGGAATGAGAACAAAATCTCTAAGTCATGTTGAGGGGAGACCCCAGGAGACTCTAATCTATCTATTGGCAGAGTTAAGGCTATAATATTCTATCTACATAGGATGGCTGAATCCCTAGTGGTCTCTAGGTCAGAGAAATAAATGGAGACGATGGTGATGGC